TTCAGTACCATTGGGTGCTCCTCAGCCCTCATTCGCAACACCTACAATTCAGAATGTTACTGCTGCACCGCAACAGGAATGTGAGAAAAATTTCTCTTTTACCAATTCAGCTGCCAACTCAGTAGAGCTCCAATATCCAAATGATGAACCCGTTCATGATAATCTGGAGGCACATGCGATAGAAAGTCTGTTGAGTAATATTGATGCGATCTCCCTGATAGGAACCTTATTTGATGACGAGAAAAATTCCTCTTATGATAGATTTAATCTGAAGGCTTTCTTTAGGATGTTTAAGGAAAAGGCGGCAGCCGCTCAGATTGATTTAGTTAAAAACATTATGGTCTTGATCTTCGTCTTCTTGCACAGAGGCAACGACATAGATAAAATCATATGAAGGACTGTTCCAGCTGGCAGACAATATCTCATTCGATTAAAGGCAGGACTTTCGATCGTCAAGGACCCTAGAACTGCTCCCGGGTGTAGTTCAAATGCTATCACTCTACGTAGAATCGCTGCAATTTTCCCATCGCTCGTAGTGAAAATCCTCTTTGAGAAACCGCCTCCAATCGCTATCAAAATATGTGAGGAATACAAACTTCCTTTGTGGACTGCGGCCGAAGGGCTTCTAAGTATATTCCCTCAAGTTAAAGAATTCGAAGTGCTGATTGCAGTTGCAAAAGCTATGTTATATGTATATAACATAGCACTCTTTGCATTTTTCCATTCTCAAAATGCAAACATTCGTGCTCCTAATGGGCAAAGAGTTCTAAACATCCTCAACTCATTTTTCAGCTCAGATTTAATGGGGGATGAATATCGTTTCCAAACCCTCTGGAGGTCAGGTGTGCTCATCAGTAGGCCAGAAGGTCAATATAGTACATACCCTGGTGTCATGAAACCAGAGTTCATACTGGTTGGCCTTTATGATCACTTGACACCATTGAGAATCTTTAAAAAGCACCCTGAGTGGTTCAATGTTCTTATGGCAAATTTGCCACAAAGCTTCGAAGTCAGGATTGCAAGCACTCCAGCTTTTGATCAAGCCGAGCTAATCGACATCCCGCAGCCTCATGTGAGCCTTCTCGTCCAGACTCCACTTCAATTTGAAGAGGCGAATGCATATCGCACAAGATTTCTTCATCAGGGCTATCTGTTTGATTTGAATCCTGCCAATGTGATAGTTGGGGCATGCGAAACTGTTCAGCAAGTCCCATAGCCTTCAATTAGGAAATAGGTCCAACCTATCTGTAAATAATTTGGTTTGATTTTATCGTATTTAGCTACTGTATCCCAGTAAATTCTATAATAACAACCTCCTGTCTGCTTATTGAGGAAAAGCATCGAATTATCATTGAATTCTTTTTCGATTCTTCTTCGTGGTTCTTCATCTAGCTTTCCAGTGTCTTTGTAAGATGTATATCATTACGGAGTAAATCTGTTCGTATATTTTGTTGTTTAGTTTTAAACCTGGTGCACTGTTGCTGATACTGATGTAATAAAAATTTGGGATTGGTTTTGCACTAGTGTTTTTCGGCCTAAGGGTCTTCAACCTGTAATTTCTTACTACTAAAGATGAAGTAAACATCTCTGCTAGGTTTTTTTTTGTCTATTAGCATCACTTTGTCTAATGACACGTTTTGTGGAGAATTATCTCATACAGTGAATATACTTAGGCTTACGTTTAGGTTCAAGCTTATTCGTATCGTTAGTTGTCTTGTCAGATTAACATTGGAGTGTGGAATCGTCGTTCGTCGCTATTGCGTCATTTTTGAAAGGTGTATGATCTGATTATGGATTCGTTGTAGGCGTTCAGAATTGAACATGCGTTGGCTGAAGGAGAATGTTGTTCGTCTCGTAGCATTCATTGTCCATGAACCGATACTCTGTGTGCAGTATGTGCTTCTGGCAGTCTTCGCATTCGTTATGTTAGTATTTGTAATGCATTGGAAAATACAAAAGTCGGTCAAGAAACAAGAGAAGGTCGGTGATTTCCTCGTTGATATACGGGTAGCAGTTTTATTACGCTTTCACTCACATCAAGTTTATGGTTCAGATAAGAAAACAGAAAGAGAAAATTTTACGAAAACTGCATGACAGTCGCCGAAAAGCACGAAATGAGTCGGAGAATGTTCTAATGATGATGGAAAAGGATAAGAATGAGTAACGTCGTCATCAGTTATTCTATGAGCATTCATTACGAGGATTCCTACTTCCTCACTTTCGTATTTTTTTTATGCGCATTGCATGTCACTACTTTTCTTACAAGTTGAGATCTGTGTCATCTGTTAACCAGTGCACTTTTCAGACATTCGTAGAGAACTAGTACTTATGGTATGTACAAAGCGTATTTCATTGCTCTAGGAATAGTCTGCCTAAGAATCTGCAGTTTCAAACTAACAATACCGCGCTTTGTTTATGTTTACCTGGTAGCTTTGTATTTAAACTAGGCATTCTCAAACGGAATCGGCTGGGAAAATATAATGATTGACGACCTGAAATATGTTCGATATTCATTAATTTAGATCTCATTTACTGTTTAATTTGTTTTTGCTCACTGTTGAAGCTGGTTAGTTTCTCATTCTTAGATTCCGGATTGCTGTTAATTGGTTAAATCGTTATCTAGACAACATACATGCACGTGGTACAAGCATAGTATGCTCTGCAAGTGATTTATGCCATATCTTACTATGAGAGATATGTGAAACAGAATCTATTCACTGTTAGCAACTCCAGTGGTCTTTCGTCTTTCTTGGTCGTGTCGTCTACGAGCATCGTGGTAGAGATTGTTCAGTTCGGTTCTCACGCCCTCGCTAGCTTCCATGAAGATCTAGGTGCTTGAGAATGATTTATGAGAAATTGTAAATGTTGTTCTGAAATAATCATATTGCCGTAACACGGTGATAGATATCAGTTGTGTAGTAGCCAGCCTAGAGAAAACTGAGTACCTTTGTTGTAATGCGATCGAGGTAAATATCGCTAATAAAGGAAATACTTTGAATGAAATTTAGTGAGAGAAGGCTGCTATTGTAGATGATTAAAGTACAGCTAACACTAGTGCAAAAATGGCTAGGATAGATGATTTGCGTTAATTGTTAGCTCTTGGTGATAGGATACGTAGTACTGTATTTACTTTATTCCTCTCCTCTCTAAGTTTGACGAGTTTGTCGTGTGCAGCTCGAGCTTCTGGTGTAAGCTGATCTACCTGAGCATGAAATTTGGAATAACCGGAAGTTCATTATTCCATCGCGACAAAATAAACGGACCTTTCTCTGAAATTCTTCCTTTCGACGCTGCATTGCTGCGTAGAATTTGTTGAACTCCTCCAACTGGTCCTTTTTTAGTAACTAAAAATTGGTGAGTAGTACGTAAACTGATTTTTGAAATGGAATAGTACAGGGTGACGGACATACGGACAAGTTGGTAAAGTGTTACCTTTGTGACTATAAGAGCTTTGGTACTAATCAGTCGTACTTGGTTACTTATTAATATGTTGAGTATTATTAACGCTGTTAGAATGCAGTTCATAGAATGCCAAGAATTTGCTTTTCTAGTATGTTCGACAGGGGCCATTGGGCCAGTGGTAGCGGTTCTATTCTTTACGTGCAAAACCCAAGCAATTCTAGTATTGGTTCGACCTCGCACTGGTCGCGTCAAGCCTACCATTCCCTCCGCAGTGGTCAAGAGATTGGTAGTAGGCTTGCCTGTTTAGGGACGTCCTGATACGGCCATCCCAAGATTCCAGGGAGAATTGACGACCACCGTTTAACGCCCTCTACAGCGAAAATGAAAAAATCCTAAAGCAGCAGTTGAACTTAAGGCTCAAAAAATTCGAAGATTCTTAGGGATGACGAGTTAGAAGAACTGAGTCGAATGCAAGTGATGGCATTCCTATAACATTTATTGTTGGGTCACACAAAAAAAGTAGTTAGGATAACCACCGATATTGAGGCTAATGTTCGATTGGCCTTTGGTGTATGTTAATAAGTCGCACATTATTGCGCCAAGAACCAATGGAGTAAAATTTAGTTCCAGCTGGGAAACTGTAAACCTTTTCCATATTTAGAAATCCAAAGAGAAGGTTTATTAACATTCGCATCCAAGTGCAGTGATTCTAGCTCGTACATATTTCAAATGGTTGCGTTCATAAGAGATAAGTTTTTCGCGCATTTTCCCAAGACTCATATTTCGAAAGGTAAATCGAATGGATAGGCGGACCTTCAATCGTTACGACAAGATGATGTTTCCGAATAGTTCGTTGGTCTTTGCGGTAGCTGTGCTTGCGCAGAGAATTTGAATTTCATCTTCGTTTTTTGAGAATTTGAATTTTGAGCAGGTTCGAACTTGAAATACCGTTCGGAGTTGCGATAGAAAGCATTGTCCACAGGTCTACGGGCAAATGAGATGAGTATGCTTGTTTATATGTTTACACACTCAAGACAACGAAATCAGTTTTTTCCCAAGTGCGCTGTGAATTTGGTAGGAGTCGTACCGGCTACAACGTCTCCCACCTTCGGACTCTATGTAAGGTTATTAGTGTGTTAGGGATAAATACGTGTGGAAAGTTTATGTGTATGGCCTCGTTTTTATATTAGAAAGCTCTTGGCGCCGATCAATTCGTGAGGTATACGCCATGCATTCGACTTCATTGAGCATCGTTGGAGGTGATTGAATGCATATTTTACCTTTACAATGATTCGCGATGGTCTACCGTTGCATCGAGCCAATGCTGCTATCCTCCCAGACAAATCTTGCATCAATTTACCGACCCCGGAGGGATGGAAGGCTTGGTGGGCCATGAGCACGGGAATCGATTCCACGTATGTGTTGCAGGGCGTCTCCGACCACAGCGCCACACGCGTCCTTTTATTAGACGTAGAATGGAGAATAAAGTTTATACAATTCCATGGAGAGGAATGTTAGGCAAACGGAATAGAAAAACTTTTACATAGAGGAGTAGTAAGGTAGCTCATTAATTTGATTTAAGTGATCTTGTACAAGATGGTCCGTAGACATCCGTCGCTAAGGAGACATCAATTTTTCAATCTGAAAAGTTTTAGGAAGAAATCGAAGTTCGACTTCTTAAGTGTTATTTAAGAAATTTAGTATTCCTGATTTCTTCACAATGACAACATTATATTAATATTATACTGACTTTATCTGGACCAATAACAAAGTTGTAGGTTAAGAATAATGTTGCAGTCAAAAATAAATAAAGGGTAAAGCTCTCGGCGTTGATTAATCCCTCAGAGATGCGCCATGCATTTTACTTCATGAGGCATCGTTGAGGGTGATTGTATGCATATCTGGCTTTCACAATAACCTACCGATGTGTCCAGCCAGTGCTGGTACCTTTTCAGACAAGTCTGGTATCAATCTGCCAACCCCGGAGGGAAGGAAGGCTTGGTGGGCCATGGGTGCGGGGATCGCTCTACTGTACTGCAAGGCGCCTCCAACCACTGTGCTACACGCGCCCCTTTCAGTTTAATCTTATTTTTAACTGGGGTCTCTGTTTACTTAATCAGACAAAGGTGAAAACTGATATCTTGGTTGGAAATTGTGAGCAGAATTTTAGAAACAAATAGAAGCACACTATAGTTTGAAAATCTGCATTTAACTCTGCCAAGAAAGTACGCGACCTTAACCTTGTGATGCCAAACCTATTGCTGGAGAGAGTTTAGACAACTATGAAATATCCGAAAGTAGACGGATTTTACTGACAACACGTTACCCTTTCGGCAAGCTCTTTCAGTTTCTCCATTTTGTCATCCTTTGAAATGGTGTAGTTCTTCCATAGAGCGTCGAATTGTGCGCGGGCATCACTGGAAACGTTTTTGAGAAATCGTGGACCTTTTGATCGGATAGCACGTGAACGTACGTCTTCAGGCAATGCATCGACCTAGAAAGAGAAGTTTCTCTTTATATGTTATCTAATTATTAAACCTTAGAGAAAACTTGGAGTGTGTTTAGCTCAATGTTTAGATGTGCCATGCAACACGCACGGTTCGATCACGCGACTTGGGCTAACCAAACCTCTTGTCTCTCCAGAGTTAGTAAATTAGTACAGAGAGTATATAAGTATTGACTTGATGTATCATTGTGTTCTCACAAGTCACTACATAGGCCAAATATGCCACTCAGTATCTTCTACGACGAACAAACAGATGAACACATGGCGCATACTCTAAGACCTTGATCAGTGGAGAGAGGTTTATCTTCTATTTGTTTATTTTTCAAGGCCATTTTATAAAAAAGAGCGAAGGGGAAACCTGTGAAGTTTTCAACATCAACAGCTTTGACTTGTTCTTTGAAATCAAGATGATAAAATCGCTATACTCGTAGAGTGCTGTGTCAGGCAAACCAAGCTGGATCGGTTTGTGATAGGTCTTTGGACTATTTTGAGTTTATCCAATTAGCCAAACTTGTCTGATGACAAACAGTCCCATACCGCTTGGTCGTCTTTCCTCTTCTTAGGTTCTCCTCTGATTCGAAAACGGCTTCCATCATAGCAAAATTTTTATCTGTCTCAATCAGGTCCATTTCCTGCTGGATACTGGTAAGTATGAGCTATAGTAAATTTTAAAGAAGGAATGAAAGATCATATCTGACCACTTGCTTGGTTTCTCGATACTCTTTGTCACAATCATCGCCATCTTCGTAATTCTCCCAAATCTTGAGAATTTGTTCTTGTGCATTTTTCGGTAGACGACTTGTGAATGTTGGCAAACCACAATTTCGATGCTAAATTCACATGGAAAAATATAATCTGTTTAGGAGATCAGATCACGTTTACATTACCTACTATATGAAGACTCTTAAGGTATATTTTGTAAAACATGTACGGTTATGGATTCTCGAAAGTGGAAAAAAAGTAACTGACTCGTTGATGTCTGTCTGCTGCGACATATGCAAGAATCAAGAAGACCAAAGCAGGTTTCATAGTCCTAAATAAAACTGCGTTTTCAGTTCACTAAAATATTAACGGTGTAGACAGTTTTCAACAACACAGAGAAAAAGACGACAGTAGAGAGATTTCGACTACAGTCTCAGTTTGACTGGGTTAGATGCCGATTTGTGCTCTCCAGTTCATTCTCGTCGAAAGGCGATTGCTGATGGCACCGTTAGAGTAAAAAATTGGCGGAGAGAAAAGGGGAATGAGGGCCTCAGTAGTGAATGAAACTGGTAACACATTAGCCCCGGAAAGGGTACGCGGTTCGATCTGGCCTTTGATCCATGCTTTGCAAATATCTCAACATCATCCTGGGTTGCATTTCAGATCATACATTGCCGTAAAAAAATAGTGAGCAATAGATAAAAAAGTAATACGATGTAGACGTTGTATTCTAGCAACGAAAAGTGCGGTTTTTTGTATTTTTCTGTAAAGGAGATCTCAACTTTACATACAGTGTACTATTACTCCTCCCAACGGTTTACCGCCTCATCATGGCTGGGAAGTGGTCCTGGGTGTCGGGCTGCGATGTACAGCAGGGAGATTCATCCTCTGGCAAGGTCTCCCAAGCTGAGAAGGAGTCCGGCATTTCTACCAGGAAGCCTAGCTAAGAGTAAACCAATACCAGGATCCACCATCGTCCTGGTATCAAAGTCGCATGGTGGCAAATCTCCCTCTGATCCACAAGGGCTGCGACTGCCTATGGTGGTGACGACCTGGGGCAGACTTTGACCAGTCTGACCTCGGGATTCCAGGGAACCACAATAGCCCAATCAGCGAATCTCCGGAAGATGGAGATTGTGGTGGAATCCACGCAACCAGTGAGGACGGGTCATTCAAGTATCAAGTGAGTAAGTACTATTACTTCTTAAAACGAAGTCTTCACATATTCAATAAAATTCCAAAACTCGTATCAGATTTATCGACAAGCTGAGGATTGTTTTAAAGAAAACAAAAAGAAAGAAGGCGTGCGCACGATAAACGGCATTTGGGAAGGTTAATGCTAAGGTATGGATAGCTTTTTGATGTTATTACCGTATAGGAATCTCTAAACAGGTCCTACCAGGTCCTGTAAGAAACAAATCTCTTTTATGGTGACATTGGAAGGAAGCTTCATTTGTCTCATGAAAATATGTGAGAAATGATATGCCTTAGAACTGTCAGCAAAACAGGTGACTTGGATGCATGCGGCTACTGACAAACACCTTTCACCTAGCAGGGATCGATGAGACACGCTGCGAATCGAGAGCAATTCATTCGCGACTAGTAATAATGATGCGGTGATGAGCACGTTTAAGAGGGATAATTGGCGATTCAGACCTGATCATTAAACGCGAATTAACAACGCATCTACTACGTACATTCTCATTTTGTCAGTAAAAGAAGGGATGAACCTTAGTCACCAAGTCATGTCGAGGTGAAAGCAGAGTCGGTTTACAACGATATTACTTCGATATGTGCAAGTTTGTCCAGTGCCGACTGCTGCAGGATGGATTACCTGTTGAAAACAAATTATTACCAACGGATACTCCCTTGGATTGTTAAACTTACACGAGATTGTTATACATCTTTTATTTGGTTAACATTTCGACATATTCGTTCTCATCAGAGCCGATTATTAGCCGAATAAAACATGCAAGAACCTTTTGCAAACTTAACAATCCAAGAAACTATTGATTATACAACCGAGGTTAAATGGCGGTCGGTTTGAAAGTTATCAAGGGATGAAGAAAATCCGACTCGACACAATGAAGAAGACTCCACATCGAGGAGACGAATGACTGTGGATCATCGGTTCTGAAGAAGACGATGATGTCGAAACGTTAGCCGAATAAAAGTTGTACAACAACCTCGGATGAGCTGAACACTACAAAAAAATTTATTAAAGGAATGAATCGCTCAGATTTGTTCAATTTCTTGGAGATGCTTCATGCATTAGACAGATTAGGGATTGTGGATGGTAATTAAATGTGTATTACAACGATTTGCGGGGACCTATTGATAGAGCAAGTTAGTGGTTTTTATTCTCTCAAACTAGTTTGATACCAATTTGCCGACCTTGTGTGCATGATCCTCCTAACGGTTTACCGCCTCATCGTGGCTGAGAAGTGTTCCTGGGTGTCGCGCTTCGATGTACAGCGGGGATTCATGCACTGGCAGGGTCTCCCAAGCTGAAAAGGAGTCCGGTTTTTCCATCGGAACGTCTAGCTAGGAGTAAAACAATCCCAGGATCTACCACCGTCCTGGTATCAAACTCACATGTGCAAATCTCCCTCTGATCCACAAGGGCTTCGACTACCTGTGATGGTGAAGATCTGGAGCAGACTTTGGCCAAGCTGACCTCAGGATTCCAGGGAACCACAATGGCTTAACAAGAAAATCTCTGAAGAGTAGTGATCATGCTGGGGTCCACACAACTAGTAAGGACGGGCCGTTCAAGTAACAAATATCAAGTGAGTATGCATGATAGGATTTGGTCTACTCTGCCAAATGTATGTTGCAGGTCATCTCCAACCACTGCATTACGTACACTTATAGCTAAGTTCGTTTCATACTATCGGAATAGCTTGTTTAACAGTTCTTTTCTATGAATGAAAACATTGGCTAATAATACAACTACAATAATGTTGAGAAAAGAATGTGAAGCTTTTTATTTACCACCTATTAGTGTTGCTTTGATTTTGGTTTTGATTTAGAAATATCTCATCATCAGTTGCATTTCACATCATGTCATGCCTTGAGAGAAATAATAGACAGTAGATAAAGTTATACATTGTGATTTCGACTACATCAATAGCTCAACTAGGTTTAACTAGTTAACCTGTGCTCCCTAGATCATTTTCGTTGACAGGCGATTGGTATTGACTCCGTTGGGGTGAAAAGACTGGCTGAGAGAAAGGTGAAAGAAGTGTCTCGAAGGTGCCGTGCATAACACGTGATCATCCGAAAAAGGCAACCGCAGTTCGATCTGACCTGGAGTTCAAGTTTGACAAATATCTCAGCATAAATGATGTTGAGTTATTTGCAAAACTCAGGCTCCGGGTCGGATTTGCACCCGCGATTATCACTTCCAATTGCTCACGTGTTACGCACTGAACCACCAGGGCATTTGTTTTGCCCTTTCCTTATTCATCTTTCACTGTGAGTAGATCAAGTAGAGATCATGCTGAATCAAAGTCGCTTTTATAGAAATAATCGAGAAGCGCTTATAAAAAAGAAAAACTAATTTCTCAATGTCCGTTTTTCGGACATCTATCGGAACACTAGGACACTTAAGACGAAACTATCGGATAATCTGTCCTTTCCGGGGAGTAACGAGGGATTGAGTCCCAATCCGCTGACGGATGATTGCTGATGGCAAAAGATCAATAGGACTAGCTGAGAGACACGCGAAACGAAGGACCCGCATGGTGTGGTGGTTAGCGCGTTACTTCTCGGAAAGGTCAATAGCGCGTTCGTTCCCCACTGCAGACACCTGTGGTCCGGAGTTGTGCAAATATCTCAGCATCATTAAAGGTATATTTCGCAATGTATGCCCTGCCGTTAAAAAGAGTAGGCAGTAAATAATAAGTTAAAATTGTCTTTTGTCACATTGCAGATTTACTTTCTCCTAGGACTGATTACTTGTTTAACTAGTTTAAGCAACTTTTTCGTCCTGCACTTTCACACAATTTCGATGTGATTCATATTGTCGGTAAACTTGATACTTGATCGGTCCGTCTTCACTGTTGTGCGTGCTCCAGCATATTCTCTATTTTTCACTGATTTGCTGGTTGAGCCATTGTGGTTCCCTGGAATCCCGAGGTCAGTCTGGCCAAAGTCTGCCCCAGGTCTTCACCACCACAGGCAGTTGCAGCCCTTGTGGATCAGGGAGATATTTACCACCATGCGACGTTGATACCAGAATGGTGGTGCATACTGGTATTGGTTTACTCTTAGCTAGGCTTCCTGTTGGAAACGCCGGATTCCTCAGCTCGGAAGACCTCGCCACGGTGGACGAATCTTCCCGCTGTACATCGCAGCCCAACGCACAGGAACACGTTCTAGCCGCGTTGAGGCGCTAAACCGTTGGGAAGATTTTTAATAAAAAAGAAAAGAACATCGAATTATTCTGAGAAATCGATAAGCGTCAGAAAATATTTCGGTAAGAAATGCAATTATCCTTATGGCACAAAGGTGATAAAAAAGTAGTTTTGATAGACAAATAAACAAACGAATAACTAAGTAAGTGAGGTCAATGATGCTGAGATATTTGCAAAACTCCTGACCGCAAGTGTCTGCAGTGAGGAACGAACGCGCTATTGTCCTGTATTTCGCAATATGCCCTGCCCCTTAAAAAGGGTAGACAGTAAGTAATAAGTAAAAATTTTGATTATAACTACAGCCTCAGCTTAACTGGGTTCTTTACTGATTTGGGCTTCCCAGATCAATCCCGCTGGCGGATAATTGCTGATGGCAGAGGTCGATAGCACTAGCTGAGAGACAGACGAAACGAAGGACTTGCGGTGGTGAACGCGTTAATCCCCGGAGAGGACAATAGCGCGTTCATTCCCCACCGCAGACACCTGCGTTCCGGAGTTTTGCAAATATCTCAGCATCACTGAAGTTATATTTCGCAATATACCCTGCCATTAAAAAGAGTAGGCAGTAAGTAATAATTTAAAATAAGTGAGGTCAGTTTTAGAGGAGAATCGGTTGCGCAACGGAGATGTAATTCGACACCCGCAACGATTTGCACGGCCACCGACCTGGGAACGCCTTAGCAGCAGTATCCGAGGATTCCAGAGAGAACCGATTTGACCAGCATTCGCATGGACATATACGAAAAAGGTCAAAAACCCTTAACTAGCAATTGAATTCAGACGCAAAGCCGACGAAGGTCGTGGGTGATCGATGCGATGAAAAGTGTCAAATGAACAATGCGTAGAGATCTGCGCTACAAATGGCGCAAGGTCACGTGAAAGTATCATAAATGGGTGGGAGTTCCGATT